CACTGCTCATTGCAGAGCTGGTCATGCTTCACCGAAGCTTATCGTGAGAGTTAAATGAGTGACAAAGCATAAACTCATAAAGTGAAACAAACTGGAAACACCTTTGATGTCCTCCGCGTCTGAGACAAGCCTGGACGGCTCTGTGCGAGAAATAAAATCATTTCTAATCCTGCATCGTCTCTGCAATGCATGCTAACAGACATGATGAAGAATTTAAAGGTTCAGCCACTGTCCTGAGTTTATCAGTATGCTGTGCTCAAAAGCAATTATCTTTATGGTTCTTTATTCTACATTTTCTACCTCGGAAGATGGTTAAGGATTATAAAGTTAGTTTATGTATTCATACTTTCAATACTTGAAGTTTGTAACAAATATTTGGCCTGATGGCCCAGTGTCTCCATAAATAAGCTGTGTATAGTAAATAAGCTGCAGAAATAGGGTGTCAGTTAAAACTGTTAAAACACTAAGCCATACATCATATACACTACAGTTAAAAAGTTTGGGTTTGGTAACTTAAGGTTGTTAAATATTTTTGAAAAAAGTTTTTCATGCTCACCAAGGCAGCATTTATTATTCAAAATCACAGTAAAACAGTAATATTGTGAAATATTATTACAATATTATTTTTTACATTACAATAATACTGTTTATTAGTACTTATAAAGCACATATTAATGCATGACCATGCATTCTACATCCTTAATCCGAGTCAATAACTAAACTTAACAACCTTACTAAATATTTATAAGCAGTAATTAAGAGTTTATTGCGGCAAAAGTCATAGTTAATATAGTTAATAGTGAGAATTAGACCTTAAAATAAAGTGTGTAATATATTTTAAAATATAATTAATGACAATGCTCAATTTGCAGCAGCATTACTGCAGTCATTAGTATCACATTATCCTTCAGAAATTATTATAATATGCTGATTTGCTGCTCAAGAAACTTTTATTAGTATTATCAATGATGCTGCTGAATATTTTTGTGGAAACTGTGTTACATTTTTGTCTATTCTTTGATGAATAGAAAGTTCAAAGGGCCAGTGTTTATTTCAAATTTTTTTATATATTTTGTGACATCATAAATGTCTTCACTGTCACTTTTGATTAGTTTAATGCATTCCTGCTGATAAGTAGTAATTATTTCCAAATGCATTATATATTTTGTTTTTACACACACACAAATACACCACCTCCACTTTGTTTCTATGCATTCTTTCCTTGTTAAAGTCACTCAAATTTAGTGGCCTGCCATCAATCACACACCTGTGGCACCTCTATTTCAACGTCAACAACAACCTGTGTCTGTCATATATAACCTGCATACCTCCTATTGTACATTGTATTGACACCAATTTTAATATAAAATGAAAATCAATATCTATTTATCTAGTTGACAATAATACTATATTGCAGGATTACAAATGATAAAATTAACATTTTTGTGCATACATGTTTGAATACATGCCAGCCCAAAAAAGTGAATTTTTAGTTCCTTCTATGTCCTTTAACATCTAGGAACTGAATTAATTATAGCTATTTCACCGCAATGTCAAAAGAATGAGACAAAGCCTTAATGCCCTAGAGAGTGTTCTTCACTCAGATCCCCACGGAAGAGGCCGCTTTAGCCTCATTAGCACCCTGTCTCATCTAAAGGCCCGCCGGGTTCAGTGTGTGGGATGGGGATAATGATGAAGAGGACAGAGATTCAGCGGCTCAGTCTGCATCCGCTGCTCCTCGACCAGAATTACTGGGTTGCATGAGGGTTTAACACACCTTAACCAGGATCTGTTTCACATTGCAAGATAAGCTTCAAATTATGGATACAGGAAGAAATACAAATGAAAAGTAGCCGAGTACCTATCTTTACAGAGACTGTAAAGAAAAGCTAGTATCAGGTCTTTCTACGATGAACCATAATTTGCATCTCCTTTGAATATATTCATAATTTGAAAGCAGGATGATATAGAAGTGTTCTATTCAAAGAATAGATTCCATTGATAGGAATCTTTGAATATATTCAAAGATCAAATATATTAAAGTCAAAACCCACAACAAATGGTCTTAATGCACAGTCCATGAGGGACTTTATGCTTCTCAGTGGCCTTTTCTTTATAACAGGATGCTTTCTGGTCTTGAATGAATCTACAAGCTATCTGGTACACCAGGACTTGTTAGGGTTCACAGACCGTCCTCAGAGAGATACAAGGAGCAGGAATTAACTATGGTGACAGCTGCAGAAACCGGAGACCAGAGTTATTTATAAAACCCCTACTGTAACATTTCAAGTCAGCATCCCTCCGCAGACAAGTGCACTTATTAACTGGTGCCACTCATCATGTGAGAAATCTATACATTTTGCTCAGAGAAAAAAAAAATCCTGAGCATGCATGAAAATTTGTATCATATTGGTATATTTTCAAACAAAGTATTTGGCAAAAAGAGAGAGGGCACAATCAAAAAAATAAAAACAGGCCATTAATCAAGACCATTATTTCAATAATAAAATAATATAGAAAACAAGACAATAAGCATGCTTATTTCCTCATTTCCCATCAGTGCATCTGTTGTAGGATCAATTTTGTTTTCAAGACTGGTCACTGCATCATTCATGTGCTGCCATACTAACAAGGAGCACTAAAGCCACATGCCATCTGGACTGCAGGTTTGAGGTAAGTCTCTATGCAAAAAAGGAAGAGTTTCTGTCACTAAGAGTCATTTTACATAATTTCCTTAAGATGTCAATATGCATGAATATATATAATTATTTACAGGGGATTATCTAGCTCTGTGCATCACTTGTTTCTCATGAGCCATTCAGTGACAACCAGCCACTGTGTTTTTTATTTGTCATTTGTTCATTTTCATTCAGGCATTTGTCATTTTCATATCTGCCTTAACTGTGTGATTAGGTGTCATGGCTAGTCATTACTGTCAGTATGTGAAAAACTGTTCATTATAAAAATGCCCAGTATTTGACAAATACTATGGATATCATACAGACTGGAAAAATGTAACAACTATAGATGCCAAGAGATTGTAAGCTTCCATTCCCCCACCAAGTCCACCCAGGACGCCAAATTCTCAGAAGCCAATAGTTAGCCAAATCATTGGTAGATCGCCATCTTTTGGTCATTACTGAGTATTACAAGAGAGTCAGAGTTTAGAGTTTGTAACATTTGACAAATCTAGATATGATCAAAAAGTGTCGCACAAACCATGTAGTTTATAAAGTATTCTGACTCAGCACTTTATTAATTATGTTAAAGTAAAATAACGTAAGAAAGAACCAGGTTTGTTAGAGAAGAAATTGTGAAAGTGCAGCATTTTGCTATATTTGCCGCTCTCTAGTGTACAGTGTTTGTATAACAGTCCGCATAATATGCCTAACCGCTTACAACTGTGGGAAAAGATAATTAGTGATAAATCATAACAACACAAGAAAGATCTGATAAAACAAATTCCAATTATATACAGAAAATAAGAACATCCATTTTATATTCATGAATAACCTCATAAGTAATTTTAATTTAAAAAATTAATGTAAGAAATAATGTATTTTTCTTTGTACTATTAAGAGCATATAGGCATACTTATTTAGTAACTGTAGCTTTAATGCGTAATTGATGTGTTAAATGTTAAGCAGACTATATGTCTGGATTTACCATTGATTTTTATTTTCCCAGTAAGTAAGTCTGTTTTGTAGATGAATGGTGGAGACAGTAACTTTCTAGTTGCATTGATCCCTCTACTTCACTACAACAAGAACGGTAACAAACAACAATACCTATATTATCGTCTTCTACACCAAGAAACAATAATGTTCTGTGCACGTTCTGCAGTTAAACCGTCAGCCACTTTAAATGCTTGGGATCTTTAAAGCAGGATATTCTGATTGGCTGTCAACGTTTTTTAATCGTTCCTAAGACGGAAAAATCATTTTGAAAGTGATTCCGACGATATCGTTCCACTATGCTTTTAAAGCTGTGGTGTGGACTCTTATCGATGTAGTTATCGTCTTTTGTGTGAACGGGCCTGTAGACAAATGCACATGATTGTAAGAGCACTGTAGAAAAAAAAACATATGAAGATTGCACAGGCTCTGGCCATGGTGCTGAAATTGTGAAATTGTACAAGACAAATGAGCTACAACAATAGGGATAGTATATTTACAGGAAAGCGACAGTCACAAATAGCCTATGGTGAAATTAAAAAGAAAACAATGCGATTCTGCACTGCAGTACAAGGATGAGCGATACAAATATCTGTTATATATTTGGAACTGCAGTCTGTTACTTTTTAGTCCCATCAATAATGTTCTAAAACTACATTTGTAATTCTTTAGATAGCGTCTTTCTTCTTGCATTACTTAGAGCTATACTAAGAGGACAAGGCCATCAGAGCATGAATTGAAATAAACTGCTATTTTAGTTGTAACATAAAACTGAAAATAATATAAAGATTTCCTACCTGAGGCACCTTATCCCACATCTAAATCCATAATATTCATATATGTAATTTCTGTTATCATTTCGAAATTGTTAATAATGTAAAATGTTAAATTAGAAATGTAATATATAACCAAAAAAAGTATTATATATATATATACACACACACAGTATATTATTATTGTTAAATCACACCTGATATATATATATATATATATATATATATATACACACACACAGTATATTATTATTATCAAATCACACCTGTAACAACATGCAATTTTTATAATTTCAAAAAATTTTACCCCACAAATCTAAATTCTGTATAAATAAATCTAACAATTGTTGCGAATATAAAAAGTCGAATATAAGAGGAGCAAATCCATTCACTTAATGTGTTTATTGCGATTTAGTGCCATCTATGGCCAAGAGGAAAATTAAATGTGAGGAGGACGTCTTACACCAGGGGGCGTTATTGTACAATGAATGTGCATTTCAATAAAATTACAATTTAATTAAAATACATAATATAAAGAGTATAAATCGCATACCTCGCTCGCTTCACTTAGTAATGTATGCTGCGACCTCGTCGAAATCCACGCACTCGCGCTTTTACTGCTGGTAAAGCTGACCAATGACAGTTTTGGGCGGCCATCTGCTAATTACAAATGACAACACTAAAACTAATCAGTATCCTAATATTTTACATTTACTTAAAAATCCAGTAATCCATCCAGTTCCGAATACTGGGAAAACATGGATATAACAATGTTTGGTCACTCCAGAACATACACTGTCATTAACAAAACGATGAGACTTTGAAGTGTTTCATTATTTTGATGAAAATCTAATCACTGGTTCGACAGGAGAAATGTTTAAGTTCTTGCTTACGTTTAGCTGGTTTTTCGGTTGGTCCCAAAGGCATCAATGGTCTTGGACTTTATACTGACAGCTATTGGCGTGGATGCATTAAGTTTGTTTACTAACTGCGATGTAACAGTATGTGCGTGCCCTACACACATCTCTTGTTGTGACCACCTGACTGACGCTCTGCTCCTGTGGCTGGTTTGGGTTCATGCCCGACGCGCTTCCTTGAACAGGAGATAATACGCCGTGTAATCAATATGTAACCATGTAATCCGTAAAATGTAATCTATTATTATTCCAAAGCCATTGTACACTAGGTATATTCTAAAATATCGCATATAAAAGTCTGTGCAGGTCACGTAGCCTGAAGTTAGGCCTACTAGCCATAACCTTGGAACCTTGGAATGTATTCTAAATAATGTTAATTTCACAAGAAATTAAATCCTACAACTGTTTTACACTAATACATTAATATTACTTGTATATAACTCGCGTATTTATTTATTTATTTATTTATTTTAACATAAGCCTATTGTTTTGTTGTTTGTGTTTAAGGCTACCCAAATCAGCAAAAACGAATTGATAGCTGCTTTCGAACCCAGACAGTTTCTTTTCGATTGTTTTTTTAGGAATCAGGGCCATGGTGTGGACAGATTAATAAACAACTTTTAACAGCAGAGGGCGCTAAACTCTAACAAAGCCCAACATAATGCATTTCCCTCGACTGTCACCTTGTTCGACAGATAGCCCTACATTCCCTCACAAAGGACCTTGTCCTTAAAAAAATAAAAAATAAAAATAATAATAATAACTAAAAAAAAAGGGGGAAAAGGGGGGGGGGGGGGTCATTGATCATTTTAACAGTGACCAGTGACACTGTACTGTCTAACCTAAGATCTAAGATATTACCCACACCGTCTGTAGCCTGTTTTGTTTATATCAGGGGTTGAAAAACAAACAAACAAACAAACAAATAAACTTGATATTGTAAACTCTGTAATGTAAAACGAGAAGATATGTGTTATTGCAGTGTTGTATTGTTTAATACATGTAATTTGGATAGTGTTCTGTTCCACTCTTCAAAAAAGCAATAAAGAGAATGTTGAAACTAATTAATTCTGTGCGAATTAAAACAAAAAACACCCGCACTGTAAAAACCATCATAACATCGTCTGTGCTTTAAATCAATTACGAGCATGGGCGTCGCTAGGCCATTTTTAGGGGGGCTATAGATATATATAAATATATATATATATTTATATATAAAACTACAATTTTGCGATTAGCTCCATAAACTGTACACGGATTCGTGATCGCCTCAGTCCCCTTTAAATTTCATCTGAAAACGGCGGCAGATTTCCATCGGCTCCTCCCAGTCTTTAAGCGCGTTCTTTTGCAATACTAGGGATGGGCGATACCCCTTATTTTGTTTTCGATACGATACCGATATTTTTCAAGGCAGTATCGTCGATATCGATACCGATTCGATACTTCTGCACTAAACTTTTAAATTATGAAATTTATTAAATTATTAAATTACTAAGAGTAAAAAATAAAGAGAATGTTGAAACTAATTAATTCTGTGCGAATTAAAACAAAAAACACCCGCACTGTAAAAACCATCATAACATCGTCTGTGCTTTAAATCAATTACGAGCATGGGCGTCGCTAGGCCATTTTTAGGGGGGCTATAGATATATATAAATATATATATATATTTATATATAAAACTACAATTTTGCGATTAGCTCCATAAACTGTACACGGATTCGTGATCGCCTCAGTCCCCTTTAAATTTCATCTGAAAACGGCGGCAGATTTCCATCGGCTCCTCCCAGTCTTTAAGCGCGTTCTTTTGCAATACTAGGGATGGGCGGTACCCCATTATTTTTTTTTTGTTAAATAAACAAAACCACTGGTAAATAAAATGCACCTTAGTATCGATACTTCGGATCGATACGCCCATCCCTATGCAATACGCAGAGCGCGGCGGCGCAGATCGATAGATTGTTGTAATATCTGCATCTGTGCAGTTCTTTGTCATAAATCCAGTTTACAAAATATCATTGGGGAGGAGCAATAATCGGTTTCCCATCTACTGAAGTTTTCACTGCGTTCACCCCTCATCACACCACAGCTCTTTCCTCCAGCTAAAATGAAGCACATACGAACGCATAAAACGATCATGTTGCCATTTTCATTTGAAAATGTAACTTTCAATATAATACATATTCCAGTGCATGTGGCAAAGAGGTTTGCATACTTGAGCTAAGGAAAGAGGGTTGTACTAGAAATGCAAACAGTAAAATTTAGAGTTTGTACAGTAAAAGTGTGTGTGTGTATGTGCGCGCGTTTTTGTGACAAATGAGGACATAAATTTGTATAATCAGTGTTGGGGTGCCTCCAGGACCAGGGTTGGGAACCACTGATCTATGCAATAGTGGAATACTGCAATAAGTTTAGTATATGAGCCCTGTTAATCAAACATTTTTATTATATATATATATATTATTAGGCTATTATTATTATTATACCCTCACTGGGGGCTGAGCCCCCCTAAAACGAAAATCCTAGAATCGCCCCTGATTACGAGTATTACAATAAAGAAATTGCTGGACTGTACAATCAGTCCTCCAACATCTCACGAATAATTGTGACTTTTGTTTGAAAGTTTTGAAAGTTTGGATCGCTACATAAAAGTAGCCTACAGAAACAAATACAACCATTTAATCCTGTGAAACAAAATAAAGCACATTTTATGTATTTATTACACCTCCTTGCCCTTTTTTTGTATTTTATGTGAAAGTGTTGTTCCCACTGTGCCATCTATTGGACCATCAGTTTATAAGTGTGTTTTTGCATGGAATTCTTAATATCTTACTCGGGCCAGGACACTATGGTGCTTGCTTTGATGCATTAGCCTACATCACCCCAGCCTCATTAAGACATTTTAGTAGTTACAATTGGTTGTCCATTGTTTGGAGACTTGCAACGATAATTTAAGACGGGATAAGATAGAACCCATAAGGAGAAAGTGGTAGCATTGTTATCAAAGATACTTTTGCTGTTCCAAACATAATTTTAGTAGCCTATAGGCTATCAATTGCATGTGCTCTGGCCTTGAGCACGACAAATTTGTGTCATGTTCACAAAAACCCATGGCAATTGTTAAACACCCAGGAATTCCGAATACTACTCATTTGTAGCCTCAAAGACCTCATTTAGTTTTAGTGAATGCAAGTCCCTAGTTTTAATAGTGATATTTAGATATCTCATTCGAGCCAGCTATACCAAATATTTTGTTAAAAAATAATTAGCCATGTTTATTTAAAAAAAATTGTCCGTGGTGTAGCCTACTTGTATCTGCTAATGATATGAAGAATACCATAATGCTATTTACACACACATTATTTACAGTATATTTTCTATTGTAATAAATATGCACTGAAAAAGTATTCTTGGAGCACGTTGGGGAGAAAGCACCCCCTTAAGCCCAACAGAGCTTTGAAGAGCTCACTATTGTTCCAGTGGGTTTGAGAACCGGTCATTACCGCTGATTAGCGCTGAAGAGTTTGACAACCTTATTGACTGTCAGAAACACTCTTTTCACCTAATCTTTCCGCTTTTGTTCCTTTATACACTCAATAGCGTGCTCTCCTTTCCCCTACCACATCTATGGCTCTTTTTTCCTTCAATAACAATTTGTTACCCAAGCATTATTAACAGACTTTAAACATACAGTTTGTCCTTCCTTCCCGTAGCAATAGTGACATTAAAAGAATTTAAACGTGATACAAAACGAAAAATAAAAGCATCTGGCTAAACAATGACAAAACCACAAGATGAGTTATTCATTATAATAATAATCATAAAGTGGACAAAATAATTGTAGATGTTTCAATTCATAGGGGTTTGAGGTTTTGATTTGACCTTGAAAATGAAAAAAAAAAAAACGTAGCAAAACGCTGTAAACGATCACAATTCCGCAGTATTTCTGAAAGCAATTAAAGCACAAATTAATAAGTAAATTAGTCAATCGATTATAGCATTGGCTTATGCATTTTACAAAGTTTTGGATGCTTTTCCTCTCTATCTTGCTCGTTTTGAAACCAAGGCGCTTCGCCCTCTCGTTGACCTTCTCCTGTCAAAAAGCATTACTGGATGGCAAAGCCAATCACACGGGGCGGTTAACGCGTCTGGACACGCAGTAAGCTATCAGGTTAAACATGCCACTATATCCTACATTTACCGATTACTGGCTGTGCGTGAACCTCACACCATTTATACCAGGAATACAGAGGCAAAAGTTCAAGTGGTTTGTCTGCCTAAATGAAGGGTGAATGCAGACACAATGCATTCAAATATGCTAATGCTATTAAGGCTAACAAAATAGGATGTCCCGGCAGCCTAAAATATGAGATGAAAAACATCCAACACACAACTTAGGCTAAAATAACTAAATAATAATAGTAATAATAATAATAATAATAATAATAGGCTAATCATTGATAGAATTAAACAATTGTAGCTTATCAACAAAATAGGTAGCCTATCGGAAATAAACATGGCTTTGGTTTAATAGGCTATTGGTAATTGACGAGAATAAATCTGTATGATTACTTTGAGCATCAAAGTTTTATTAGCGGTAAGTCCTTAATTCACTATCGGCGCACATACTCTAAAAGACGATCGTTTAACACCGAAATGACCAGACTGAAATGACCAAACAAATAAAGATCAGATTCTATAAGAGCAACAATTTAATGCGTAAACACCTTAGAAACCCTGGGAGGTAAAATGTTTCACCATAAAGTCCTTTTCAAAATTAACAAAAAGTGTGAATATCATTTTCGTAGGGGCACCTATTTGCTTGAGGCAATACAGATAGTATTTTTTTCGCGTTTGCCCCCACTTTGCTCTCACAAAAAGATAAATACATTTTAAAAGATAAAGCATTCCATGAATCCTACGATTCCGGGCTGATGTAACAGCCTCCAAATAAAAAATAAAATAAAATAAAAACACGGCCTCTGATACGTTAAGGCACTAATGTGCTTGTATATCTTGCTGATTGTCTGTCTCGATTTCCTTCGTATGTGTTAATTTTCTCATAGTCTTCCCGTATAGCCCGCGGGCCGGTTCGTGGTGCGATGCTAGATGTCACATTCGCTGTCACTTGAAGTGATGGAGATAGCCGACGCAGCGGCTTTGCTCGACAGGCTCGCTTCAGGGCTCGACGCGTTCCCCAGTCGGTCTACTGCACCATCCT